GACTTATAGAAAGACCGCGGGAAGAGAGAATCGCGTCGCGCTCTACGGTAGCAACAATAGAGGGATGCGCATGTGCTGCGATTGAGTGACGCGAAGGATGGCGCTTGCGACGGCACCGTGCCCCCCCCCTCTCCGCGGAAGCCGAGCCCGACCATTGTGGTACTTTGTAGGCGAAACGATTGAACGTTTCTTTCTTACAGGAAGGTGAGGTGAGTGCGGATCTAGCCGGCCGTGAGCCCGACGGCCACAGCTCCGCAGGGCCGTGTGATCACTCGTCCCACACGAGCTAGATGCGAGAAAGAAAAAGAGGGACGGGGGAAGAAAGAGGTGGGAGGGGGAGTGAGAGATCAGAAGGGGGACGGGGAAGAAGGAAACTTGACGCGGCAAGATGAGGTGGAGAGGAGGAAGCGGACTCAAGAGAAGAGATCAGAAACAAGAAAAGGAGGCGGAGAGAGACCGAGCGACGGCAGATGAGGCGCGGGAGGATGTAGAGACAGCAGACTAAAGGGCGGGCGAAAAAGTCGGGCGATGAGAGCACCTTCTGTCAGAGGACGGCAGTTGATAGATCTGCCGAGCGTACGAAAACCAAGCACAGGGCGAGACCGCCTCGGTCCCCGGAGCTGCGTCGATGATCGGGGCCAACGTATGAGACGGTCGCCAGTAGTCGCCGACGACGTACAGGATGAGGAGCTTCGGTTCATTCCGTCAGGTAGGAATCGGGTTGCGCCCCTTCTTCGTCTTGGGGCCACGCTATTGAGCCTTCAAGCGGACGCGGCCCCCGTAGAGGGAGAAGGACCAACACGATTCCCGGTTCACGCGGTGTCAGCAGCCGCACCCCCGCGGCTCTGCTGGGCCCTCGGGCGCCGCGCAGCTTTAGCCGATAGGCGGTAGAGCGGAGGGTTATGATATCAAGGGGCGAGCGAAAGGAGAGAGAGGAGCCAGGCAGACAGGAGAAGGTCAAGGGACAAGCGAGATGAGTCAGGGCGATACAGCAGCGGCTTAGAATACGAGGAAACAGAGTCGGAGTACACACGGTCGTAGAGAACAGCAACACCAAAAGGCGGGGTTGGGGGTGTTGGTGGTAGAGTCAGGGTACAGTCCCGGCCTCCCGCTTCGCCAGAGGGCGTGTTTCTCAGCGGTTAATTACGGCGTCAGTGAACGGGCAACGTCGTTTGCCCCCGGAGGTGCGAACGTTGACGGTCTCAGGGCCGTCGCTTCCGCATCCGCCGGGCAGGGTGGGGAGCACGCGGGCGCTCGCCGCGTCGCCAACCGCGGCGGAGCACCACCGCGAGTTGTCAGCAGGGGTGTGAGGAGGGAGGCCGAAGAGGAAACTCGTCCGCGATGCCGCAAGCTGCTCTTCGCAATGTCCGGTCATCTGCCGACCTGGGCGCTCGCGCCCCACGCGCCTCAAAATCAGAGCCCCGCCGGAGGGCAGTGCGCAGGTGGACGGGAATGTGCGAAGCATCGATTCTGCGGTGGGTTGTCGATGGCGACTCTTGTCCATTTAAACGCACCCTCCTGGGATACGGAGCCGTAATTTTCCAGTACACACCCCCCCCGTCTGTCCGAAGACCGGCTTCAACCTCCCCCAGCCTCACAGTCGATAGTACCTGAAGCGCGGTGAAAGCCGCGTGACCGTCAGGGGGCGGCAACCGAGTGGGTTGGGGAAGGCGGCCGGCGAAGACGGTCGGGACCAGACAGGACGGTGAGATGAGCAAGGGCGCTGAGGTGGACAGTTCCATGAGTGAAATACCCCAACATCAGCGACCGAGGAGACTTGCCGACTGGCTGAACCCGACGGGCCGGAGGAGGGTCCACTCTTTGATTCCTCCATCGGTCCTCATCACGCGAAGACGTCTTCGTGAAAGCGGTATGCGGGAAAACCGCACGTACCGTTTGAGCGGCGGACGGAGGCCAGCGCCCGCGGGGCGCGCCTCCTCCGACCCGACACCGGGGAAGCCGGGTAATGCCGGCGGAGGGAAGGGACCTCAGGTGGAAGCGATGGCGAAAGGGAGCAGGCTCACGGGAGTGGCCGACGGCCTAGTACCCCGGAGATGAGCAGGAATTCCGGACTGTCATCACATGCACAAGCGAAGGGGACGACCTGCATGGTCGCTGTCGCCAGGGCGTCAACAGGCCTGACGACGCACCGGCCGGCCAGCGCAAGGGTGCGAGCGTGGTGCCACCGCTCGCGAGACCCGTCCGCTGGTCGCGACCCGGGAACCCGTGTGCGAGTCGCATGATTCCACTGGAGAGCCCGGTGCCGGAGATCGGCCCGCCGGGTTCGGAGAGCGGGGGGAGGAAACGTGCTCACGGGAATCGGACTGCGGCCCGGTTGCGAAAGCACCGGATGAGCCACCGATCCCTACCGGATACGCGCCTCCCCTCGACTCTACTCATGAGGATCGTGAGGTGTGCGACGGGTTCGATCATCACCAGTTGCCCGGAGCCGTCCCGTCTCGGGTGCTCGTCAGCCGGCAGTCACTCAGTCGCATGAAGTTCGGTCCCTGGCGCCGGGTAGCCGCGGGGCCGGACCCTCGGCCCTCAGTTCGGATGGGGCGACCAGAGTCGTCGATCCGGTCACTACCGGCGTGCGACGGCCAGACGCAGCGAAGCCGGCGCGCCTCTTTACTCCTGCGGCTCTTGCTCCTGCGCCTTGGTGGTCTCTCGCCGGGATGCCCAGTACTTGCGCATCCGCTCGGCGACGGCCCTGCGCTGCTCGTCGCTCATCGTGCGCTTCCGGCTGCCGACCGCCTTTACCGCCTTCTTCCTGCCGCGCCCGACGGCCGGCGGGACGTTTCCCTCGATCGCCTCGATGGCGCGCTGTATGGCAACGAGCTGGCTCTTGAGCGAGCGCTCCTCGTCCCGCAACGCGTCCAGGATTCCGCTCTTCGACATCGTGACCTGCTTTCTTCGCGACGACCCGCCCGCATCACTTGCCCCGGTCGCCGGCACGCAAGAATCCAGGAACGCCGCCGGGCGCGGCCGAAACAGGTCGCGACGAGATCGTCCCGATTCCCGGGAGCATCACGACCTGCTTCCCGCGGGACGCCGGAACAGCGGACACCAAGCACGTGCCTGATCCTGTCGCTCCCCAGCCTCTTGGAGCAAGTCGTCGCGCGGTTTGCGTCGGCCGGCCGATCGGCCGGCGCCAGGGTAGCCGTTCCCATAGACCGGGGTCGAGCCGGACAGTACTGCATTCGGGAGCCGATGGGGCAGCCGAGCCACGGGAGGAGTCGGCTGAGTGCCCAGAGGCCGAACGGCACGCAGAGTTGCTCGATCTGCGGCGAGTGTTGAGAAGACCCGGGGCAGTTCAGTTCTGCCGAGGGCCAGGCCGTGCGACCCGCGACAAACGCGGCATGTTACTCCCAGGCTCCGCCCACCAGACCGAGACTGCCCAGTTCGCGCACCGCCGAGTCCTGCCGCAGCTCCCTGGCGAGCACGAGAAGTTCGGTGCGTGGGTAACCGTGCTCCCGGCTGTCCGGCTCCGGCACCGGATTCCGGGCGCGCCAGTCGGCGCAAACCTCGGGGCGCCGTCGCCGAGCACCCGGGCCGCCGCGCCGAACTTGCCGCGTCTCTTCAGCGTCTTGCCGACAACGGCGATGCTCACCTGCGGAGCATACGTACGAAGGTAACCGCGGTTGTCGTCGGCGTGGGCGTTGTTCTGCCGGGTCCGAATGCTGCCCGAGCTCCATCTGCCGGACGCCGGCGTTGCGGGAGGAGCGCCAGCGGCGACTCGCGGCGCGCGCCGTGCGCCTGGGGCGGGCGGATTTCACGTAGGCGGGCCTGGGCGTTCAGGACTCCATGGAGGGGCTTCGTCTGCGCCGGCGCTCTCGCCAGCTCAGCATAGCCGGGGCAACCTCAGGGCAACGCTGCTCGCTCCTTGTGGTATAAGCACCAGAGCACGGAACGCCTATGGACATCTCCCGTCGCACGTTCCTGAAGGCCTCGGTCACCGGCGGCCTCGCGGTCAGCGCTCTCGGTTTCGATTTGCGTCCGGCGCACGCCGCGGTCCGCCAGCTCAAGATCGGCAACGCCACGGAGTACCGGACCGTCTGTCCGTACTGCGCTGTCGGCTGCGGGACGATCGCCTACGTTCACGGCAGCGGTGGTCTCAACACGAAGAACACCGTCATCCACGTCGAGGGCGATCCCGACAGCCCGATCAACGGCGGGACGCTCTGCCCGAAGGGCGCGTCGCAGATGCAGCTCGCGATCAGCCCGCGGCTGCGGCACCAGCCGCTGCTGCGCCGGGCGGGTGCGTCGGAGTGGGAAGAGGTCGACTGGGACACGGCGATGGACTGGTTCGCGCGCAAGTTCAAGGACTCGCGCGATGCCTCGTTCCGCGAACGGGACGACCAGGGCCGCGTCGTCAACCGCGCCGACGGGATCGCCTGGGTCGGCAGCGCCACCGTCTCGAACGAGGACGCCTACCTCATCACGAAGACGATGCGCGCCATGGGCCTGGTCTACATCGACCACCAGGCCCGCATATGACACAGCCCCACGGTGGCCAGTCTGGCCGCCACGTTCGGCCGCGGGGCGATGACCAACCACTGGAAGGACATCAAGAACACCGATGTCGTCCTGGTGATGGGTGCGAACCCGGCGGAGAACCATCCGTGCGGGTTCAAGTGGGCGATCGACGCGCGTGACAACCGCGGCGCGAAGCTCCTGACCATCGATCCGCGCTTCACCCGCACGTCGGCCGTCGCCGACCGCCACATGCAGATCCGGCCCGGGCTCGGACATCGCGGTCCTCGGCGGCCTGATCCGCTACGCGCTCGAGAACGACCTGTACCACGCCGACTACGTGCGCGCCCACACGAACGCGACGTTCGTCGTCGGGGAGGACTACGGGTTCGCAGACGGCCTGTTCGCCGGCTTCAACGAGGCGGCCAGCAACTACGACAAGACGGCCTGGGACTACGAGCGGAGCCCGGACGGCTACGTCCGCCGCGACCCGGCGCTGGCCCACCCGCGCTCGGTGTTCCGGTTGCTGAAGCAGCACTACGACCGCTACACGCCCGACGTCGTCGCGGACATCGCCGGCTGCACGGAAGAAGAGTTCCTGCAGATGGCCGAGATCATCTGCTCGACGGGCCGCGCCGACCGGGTCGGCACGATCATGTATGCGGTCGGCTGGACGATGCACACGGTCGGCAGCCAGATCATCCGCACCGCGGCGATCCTGCAGTTGCTGCTCGGGAACATCGGCCGGCCGGGCGGCGGCATCAACGCGCTGCGCGGGCACGCCAACGTGCAGGGGGCGACCGACCACGCCATCGTCGCCGGCATCCTGCCCGGCTACCTGAAGGTGCCGACGCCGCCGCAGACGTCGCTGGCGGCGCATCTGGGCGACTCGACGCCGCGGCCGCTCGTCGCCGACACCGTCAACTATTGGGGCAACTACCCGAAGTTCTACGTCTCGCAGATGAAGGCGTGGTTCGGCGACCACGCCACGCGCGACAACGACTTCGCCTACGACCACCTCGCCAAGCAGGACGGCGACGCGACCTGGCTGACCATCTGGGACCAGGCGCGCCAGGGGACGCTGGAGGGCTTCGTGGCCCTCGGGTTCAACCCGCTGCTGGCCGGACCGGACGTCCCGCGGCTGCTCGACTCGATGTCGAAGCTGAAGTGGAAGGTGGTCATCGACCCCTTCATGCTCGACTCGGCCGAGTTCTGGAAGGCGCCGGGGATGGACCCGGCGGCCATCGACACCGAGGTGCTCTACCTGCCGTCCTCCCACTGGATCGAGCGCGACGGCTCGTTCACCAACAGCGGGCGCTGGGCGCAGTGGAAGGAGAAGGCGATCGACCCGCCGCTCGGGGTGCGCCCCGACACCTGGATCCTGTCCGAGCTCTTCTGGCGGGTGAAGGAGCTGTACCAGGCCGAGGGCGGCGCCTGGAACGACGCGATCCAGCACCTGACGTGGGAGTATCTGAACCCGCGCGAACCGAAGCTGGTCGAGTTGGCGAAGGAGATCAACGGCTACGACCGGCGCAGCGGGCGGCTGCTCTCGTCGTTCGGCGAGCTGGCCGACGACGGGTCGACGACCTCGGGCAACTGGATCTACACCGGCAGCTTCACCGAGGCGGGCAACCAGATGCAGCGTCGCGGCACCGCCGACCCGACCGGTCTCGGCATGCACCACGACTGGGCGTTCAGTTGGCCGGCCAACCGCCGCGTGCTGTACAACCGCGCGTCGGCCGACGCCGAGGGGCGGCCGTGGGATCCGGCCCGCGCCGGGCATCGCCTGGAACGGGCGCGAGTGGATCGGCGACGTCCCGGACTACGGCCGGACGCACGCCGCCCGACGCGGCCGGGGCCTTCATCATGACCGAGGAAGGGGGTGGCGCGCCTGTTCAGCAGCCACCTCGCGGACGGCCCGTTGTCGGAGCACTACGAGCCGGTCGAGAGCCCGTCGCCGAACGTGCTGCACGACAACGTGCCGATCAACCCCGTCATCCACTGGTACGACGGCGCGCGCGAGACGCTCGCCACCGGCGACGACGACTTCCCGTACGCCTGCACCGTGTATCGCGTCGTCGAGCGGGAGCACTTCGTGACGAGCAACGTGCCCCTGCTGGTCGAGGCGATGCCCGACTTCTTCGTCGAGGTGCCGGAAGGTCTGGCCGCCGAGAAGGGGATTCCGAACGGCAGCCAGGTGCGGGTCTGGTCGAAACGGGGCGAGGTGCAGGGGACGGCCATCGTCACCAAGCGCATCAAGCCGCTGCGCGTCAACGGCAAGGTGGTCTGGACGGTCGGCATCCCGGTCCATTGGGGTTTCGTGGGGTTGACGCAGGGGTCGATGGCGAACCTGCTGACCCCGTACGTCGGGGACGCGAACACCCGCTGCCCGGAGTTCAAGTCGTTCCTGGTGAACCTGGAACAAGCGACCTGACATGGCCGACACCCTCTCCATCCGCCGCGTGTCCGCGAGCCCGGACGCCTACATTCCGATAGACGCGCTCCGCTCCGGCGGGCCGACCTACGCCAAGCTGGTCGACATCGGGGCCTGCATCGGCTGCAAGGGCTGCGAGGTCGCCTGCAAGGAGTGGAACGACCTCGGGGTCGAGCCGACGGCCAACTTCGGCAGCTATCAGAGCCACCGGGACCTGAGCCCGAAGACGTGGCTGCTGATGCGCTTCAACGAGGTGGAGATCGACGGCAACCTCAACTGGCTGATCAAGAAGGACGCCTGCCTGCACTGCGAAGATCCGGGCTGCCTGTTCGCCTGTCCCGCGCCCGGGGCCATCGTCCAGTACACGAACGGCATCGTCGACTTCAACCAGGAGAACTGCATCGGGTGCCAGTACTGCGTCACCGGCTGCCCGTTCGACATCCCCCGCTTCGACGTCCACACGCGCAAGGTCTCCAAGTGCAACATGTGCGTCGACCGGGTCGAGGCGGGCCTGGAGCCGGCTTGCGTGAAGACCTGCCCGACGAACGCGATCTCCTGGGGCAGCAAGCACGACATGCTGGCCCTGGCCGACCGGAAGGTGGAGACGCTCAACTCGCGCGGCTACCAGAACGCGGCCGTCTACAACCCGGCCGGCGTCGGCGGCACGCACATGATGTACGTCGTCCCGCACGGCGACCGGCTGGAGGACTACAGCCTGCCGACGGATCCGACCGCCAGTCCGATGCCGATGACGGGACTCGGGTTCCTCAAGCGGATCGGCGCCTACCTGATGGGCTTCGGCGTGCTCGGCGTGGTGGGGCACTTCCTCCGCTACGGGCCCGAGCGGCTGGAGGAGCACGAGGAACACGAACCGGGCGGGGACGCCGGCGCGCCGGTGGCCTGAAGCCCCGGCGCACATCACTGACCGACCCATGGCTGACCGGGTGCTGAATCGCTTCACCTTCGCCGAGCGGATCGTCCACTGGGTGGTCGGGGTGTCGTTCGTCCTGTTGCTGGCGACCGGTCTCGCCTTCGCCTACCCGGCGCTCTTCTGGCTGACCACGCTGCTCGGCGGCGGCCCCTCCGCGCGGGTGCTGCATCCCTGGGTCGGCGTGCTGTTCGCCGGCGGGATGGCGTTCATGATCGCGATCTGGATCCGCGACATGTTCCTGAGCGAAACCGACTGGCGCTGGCTGCGCGCGGTACGCCACTACGCGACCCGCGATTCGGCGAACGTGCCGCCGGCCGGCAAGTACAACGCCGGCCAGAAGATGTTCTTCTGGTTCCAGGGGCTGCTGGCCTTCGTCTTCGTCGTCAGCGGCGTCCTGCTCTGGTTCCCTGCCTCGTTCGGCGCCGGCCTCCTGCAGTGGATGCGCCTCGCGCACTACTTCGCGACCCTCGGCGGCGGCCTGCTCCTGATCGTGCACGTCTACCTCGGCACCATCGCGTATCCCGGCACCGCGCGCGCGATGATCGACGGGACGGTGACGGAACGGTGGGCTCGCCATCACCATCCGGGGTGGCACGAGGAACAGACTCGTCCGTAGCGGCGCGACAGCCGACCACTCTTTTCGAAGGCACGTCGCGGCCGGCTCCAGCGTCCGAGCGGCCTTGCCCTCCCGAAGACCGGCGGCGACTCCATGAGTCGTCGGCAGAATTGCCCGATGCAGTCCTTTCCAATCCAGAAATGAGCCTGAAGCGGGGCACGTGAGCCGAGCCTGTCAGGCGACCGAACCGACGGATCGAAACAGGTCCTGGCGCGGGCCGCGTTGAGGGCGCGCGTGACCGCAGCATTATCGCTCATGGCGGCGGAACCGTCACGGCGTGCGACACGGCGATGGGCGCATCCTGGTTCAGGGCGAAGGTTCTGTAGCCGCTGCCGTGGCAACCGAACGGTGAGGGTCTGGTTTGCCGGGTTCTGAACAGCAGGAGACCAAGCGGAGCGAACGTCCGTCTGCGGACGTTTGCGGAGTGCGGTAGCCGAGCGCGGAACCGGCAGCAGAGGGGCTGGACGTGACTACGCGAGGGGCTGTGAAACGGCCGGCAACGGCTGGATGGATCGTCGTCGGCGCTCGTGCCTGATGGCGTCGCGCTTCCGCCTTTCGGTGGTGCTGAAGCCGGTGACGACGCGAGTCGGCGCCGGCGATCCGGGCTCGCCAGCGCCCGCGCGAGTTGGTACGTCCGGTGTTCGAGCTTCCTCGCGCCTGCTCGTCAACAACATGACGCCGACCGACAGGCGGCGGTAGCGGGCCGTGAGCAAACCTTCAGGCGTGCGCCAGGCTAACTGATGGAAGGACAGCCGGTGGAAGTCCGGCAGAGGGAAGGAGTAACCGACCACCTTCACCCCGAGTCATGCGCCGGTCGCTGTGAGGCGACAGGCGAAGCGTTGACAGGGGCGCGAACGGGCAGGGCTACTGAGCATCGAAAGGTTGCATGTCTGGAGTGCCGAGACCGTGCCTGTGGTTGAAGGCAACACCGCCATCACCGCGACTGGTGAGGGGATGGTGGACTCCACGGTGTCGGAGAACCCATGCACGTTAGCCCATCTTTACCAAGATTGGCGGTCGTTTTGCGGATTTCGGCGGTTTTCGGGGAGTGCGAGGCCTGTAACTTGTTGATTATAAAGGATCGGGTTTTGCTGGAGACGAATGTAGTGCCATAAGCGTATGGCGATGGTTGCCTGGGGCAGGGTGCGTCCGCTATGGTGAGCGCCATGTTCATTCGGCGCACCCAAACCCGGCGGACTGAGGACGGAAATCCCTACTTCTCTCATCGCCTCGTGCACGCCGAACGCCTCGGCAGCACCGTGCGTCAGCGCACCCTCCTCAACCTCGGTCGCCACTTCGATATTCCCCAAGCGGAATGGCCGCTGCTGTGCGCCCGCATCAACGATGCGTTGAGCGGTCAGGCGCCGCTGGTGGCCGATTGCCCGCCTGCCGTGGACGAGGAAGCGCAACGGGTCGCGGCGCAGTTGATCGCCCGCGGCCCGGCCGCGACGACCGCCGGACCGACCGATGTGCAGCCGGTCGATGTCGACTCGTTGCGGCTGGTCCGCCCCCGCAGCGTCGGCGTGGAGCAGGTCGGCCTGTGGGCGCTCGAGCAACTGGACCTGCCGGCGCTGCTGACCCGGTTGGGCGTCAACGGCGCCCTGCGCAGCGCGGCCACCGGCGCCATCGTCGGGCGTCTGGCCGCGCCCGCCTCGGAGCGCGCGACGCACCGCTGGCTGCAGGAGCGCAGCGGTCTCGGGGAGTTGCTCGGCGTCGACTTCGAGACCGTCGGTGCGATGCAGCTCTACCGCGCCTCGGACGTGCTGGTGAAGCATCGCGAGGCGATCGAGGCGCATCTGTTCGACCGCGCGATGGGGCTGTTCGACCTGCAGCCGACGGTGACGCTCTACGACCTGACCAACACCTACTTCGAGGGCGAGGCGAGCGACCAGCCGCAGGCGCAACGCGGGCACTCGAAGGAGAAGCGCAGCGACTGCCCGCTGCTGACCCTGGGCCTGATGCTCGATGCCAGCGGCTTCGTGCGCCGCTCGAAGGTCTTCCCCTCCGGTCCCCGGATGAGGGGCGGGCGTATTCCAAGGCAGGGGGGTGGTATGCCTCGCCGGCCGCAGGTGGCAGTAGTGGAGGACACCTACACGGGGCACCAGGCGAAAGCGGGACACAGCCAAGGTGTGGACCTGAGCCCACCACGACGCGAACTGCGGAGGACAGGGCGCCCATCGCGATTGGCGGTGGGGGGACGAAGGGGGTTTGAGGAGATGAGGGGTAGGTAGAGTAGTAAGTACAGGCCGTAGTAGTCGAACGGGGCGTGCACCCCATGACGAACCGGTCGGCCAAGGTGGGGCAAGGTCGAGCCTGCCACTAGGAGGCGAAGGCGCTCTCATCCACCCACGCGCACCAAGGTGTATGCGGACGGCACGGTACGGAAGACCAGTGCGTGACCCTGGGAGACCTCGGCGGGTCCGCGGGTGGCACCGCGGCAACCGACCCTATAAGCGAGAGCGAAGTGGGAAGGGACGCTCGTCGAGAGTCGGACGCCGAGTAGTACCTGATGCGTGGCGAAAGCGACGTGACCGCGCGAGCGGCAACCGAGTGGGTTGGGGAAGGCGGCCGGCGAAGACGGTCGGGACCGGACAGGACGGTGAGATGAGCAAGGGCGCTGAGGTGGACAGTTCCATGAGCGAAAGACCCGAACATCAGCGACCGAGGAGACTTGCCGACTGGCTGAACCCGACGGGCGAGAGGAAGGTCCACTCTCTTATCGACAAGGTGTACAAGCGGAAGAACCTCGAGATGGCCTGGGGGCGCGTGAAAGCGAACCGGGGCGCCGGGGGTGTCGACGGGCAGTCCATCGACGACTTTACCGAGGTGCGAGAAGAGCAGCTCGACAGGTTGCACGAGGACCTGCGCGACGACGCCTACCGACCGCAGCCGGTGCGCCAGAAGCGCATCCCGAAGGCGGGCAAGCCGGGGGCGCATCGCGAGCTCGGCATTCCCACGGTCTACGACCGGGTGTGCCAGCAGGCGTTGCTGAATCGGCTGGAGCCCATCTTCGAGCCGGTGTTCGATGATGCCAGCTTCGGATACCGACGAGGGCGGTCTCAGCACGACGCCCTGCGCAAGGTTTGGAAGGAACTGGAGTCAGGGTGCGAGTGGGTTGTCGACGGCGACCTGAGCGACTTTTTCGGGACGGTCGACCATGACAAGCTGCTCACGCTCGTGGCCCAGCGGGTCTCTGATGGCCGGGTCCTTCGCCTGATTCGCTCGATGCTGAAAGCAGGGAGCTACGGCGACGGACGCCTCTTTCCGACGGAGCGTGGGACGCCGCAGGGCGGCGTCGCCTCACCCTTGCTGAGCAATGTCTTGTTGACGCCGTTCGACAAGGAAATGCGACGCCGGGGGTACCGGCTGACGCGGTACGCGGACGATTGGGTCATCACCTGCACGTCGGCGGCCGAAGCGCGAACCGCCTTGGCCACGGCGACGGCGGTCCTGGAGCGACTGGGCGTGCGCATCAATCCGACGAAGACTCGGATCGTTCGCGTCCAGCACGGCTTCGAGTTCCTCGGTACAAGATGCAAGCGCGGCAAAGGGGCTTCGGCTCCCGCTGCACAAGGTCCGTACGCGCCTTCGTCCGGGCGGCCTGTACGCGTACCCGACTCAGAAGTCTCTTCGTCACTTCCAGGACCAGGTGCGCAGTCGAACGCGACGCAAGGCGCCGGTGTCCACTGAGGTGCTGATTGAGCAGCTCAACCCGGTCCTGCGGGGATGGGGGCACTACTACAAGCGTGCCCACGTCCGGAAGCTCTTCCACCAGCTCGACGGTTGGGTGGTGCGTCGCGTGTGGGCGCATCGGTCCAAGCGGTGGCGGTGTCGGGGATGGCTATCCCTGTCAAACGCCACGCTCTACGGCGAGTTGGGCTTGGTCAACCTTGTCGGTTTGATTCCTTCCATCGGTCCTCATCACGCGAGGACGTCTTCGTGAAAGCGGTATGCGGGAAAACTGCACGTACCGTTTGAGCGGCGGACGGAGGCCAGCGCCCGCGGGGCGCGCCTCCTACGACCGACAACCGTGAGAGGCGGGCGAACAAGGCGACGCAAGCGGCCTGCGGAGTCGCCGGAGGGA